AAACTAAAGTTAAAAATAACTATAGTACACCTAATTCAGATATCATAAGAACTATGGTTTTCTCAGATAAGAGAAGAAAAAGGAACCTAATTATGAGCTCTGGATTAAGTTTATGCCTGTGAGCAGTTAAAACCAGAACAATTAACTGTCCAGAGATTGTTTACACTAATGTAATACCCTAAAAACCTAAAAGAATTATGAAATATTTTCTTGTATGACAAATAAATATTTATTATTTAAAAACGACAATTTCAAATAAAGGCAAGAACTGAGTATTTTATAAGGTATCAAATATTCCATTACCTTTGGTTTTTTGTTCAGCAGCCTGAAAAACAAAAAACAACAGCAAAAAAGCAGTTAGTGGCAAATTTTTTGCTGGAGACAATCATAAAAAAAAACTTGCAGCTCTAACTTGCAACCACCACCATACATATAACAAACCACCACAAAAACATGATCTGCCCCACATTCTAAACAGAGTTCTTGTGCAGGAATTGGGAGGGCAGAGTTGCTGGTGGGGGGCATGGCTTTTCATTGGCAGAAACACTTGAAGCATATTCTAAAGCTTATTTTGTTTCTTCTGGGTGCAAGTAATGTGCACTTAAGTTGGGTTTATCTACCCAACCAATTTCATAACTATTGATTCACGCTGACTTGTTTCAAACAAGCCAGAGCCAAAAATTTTCAGTTTGTTGCAGGGGAGTGGGTTTAGATTCATTATCCAGCATGGTTTGTACATATGCTATGCTTAACTCTTCAGTTACAAATATTTAAGATGTGGCATTAAGGGACTTTTCCATCAGTTTACTTCAAATAAAGGCATCAGTTACTAAACCAGAGACAGGCAGCTAGAACCTAGCCTCAGAAGAGCCAATAAAGTACAATCCAATTTGACAAACAACTTTGCAAACTAATAGTAGGACCTAGACTTCAGTGCAAAAGAAGAGCTACCTCATAATTATCTCTTCCAAAAAATAAAAATCATTCCTTAAATTAACATGAGATTTCCACCATGCAGGGAGAAACTTATGTTTAGCGCCCCATATACATACAATGTGAACATGTACACAAGGAACCCAAACTCATCACATGCAGAAATGTTAACTACACATACCTTTGATTATATGTGGCAAGCATAATGTTACATTTTTATTTGCACCTTTAAAAAGTGTGAATTACATTCTGGGAATATAGTACATTTCAAAGTTATTTTTCAGTTCCCAATCCCTTCATGATGCATTCACTTTAAAATAGAAAGGATAGGACTCCATTATTTTTAATACATACATATATACAGCAGCAGAAAATCAGCGGAGATAAAGAGTCTGTTGGCTCTAGTTTGTAGTGATCAAAAGAAATTGTAACTTTGCTGCAGGGGAAATGAGTATATAGAACTCATGCTGAAAAAGATTATTATGCATGTATGTTACAAATGATAGACTATCTATCCATAAGGCCATTTAACAAACAATACTAAATATTAAAATATGTTTCATATGCAATAATGATATATAATAAGTCACTTCAGTATACTTATATGGAACACTTGGCACTTATCACACAAACAGATAAAGAATTGAGCAAATAAATAGTTTATTATGTCAGTAAATGAATTATACTAATGAAATACGTTCATCAAGATATATACACAGTACAATCTAACAGTCAGATTAAATTAGCATACTTTCAAACATCCTTTATTCCTTTAAGTCAATGGACTTAAAGTCACCTTAAATACAGCTAACCTCCTGTAAGTTGTTTGTAAATTAGTCATAGAATGAATTTTACTATCTGTTTAAATATCTAATTAAGTATCTAATTAGGTATCTAATTAAGCTCACTGAGTGAGCAAACAGGGAGAGCTAACAGGAGTTTAGCAGTTGAGTTCAGAGGAACAGGGCAAGGAGCAGGTCCCTAATAAAAATTTCCCTGCAAGCTAAGCACATGCTTAGAAAGGCCTACCAAATATGCTGCCAAGGGCACAATCCTATGACTCCTAGACACAATCCACAGGATCGTAGAGACCTCCTTCTCTGAGGCTAAAGATAGTACACCAACCTCAGAAAGGGGATTCAATGATCTGAATATCCTCTCTCGGTACCTTGCAGTCAACATGGAAAGAATATACCAATTGCCTTTTGGGGTAGGAAAATCAACCTCAGAGAAGTGGAAAACATTCTGGTGAGGAGAGAGGAGAATACTGGAGAGGCCAGGTACAAGTTATCCTGAGCTTCCCCCAGCTTCCTACACACCCTTTCTGAAGCACTATGACTAGATGGGATAGGGGAAAAAAAACCCCATCCAGTAAAACCTACAGCACAGGAAGGCAAAAATCATCTTTGCTGTTTCTCATACTCTGCACTGGATGATTCAAAGCCTCTTATTTTAGGGGCTTTTAATTATGGAGGGCTCAATCAACAGGACTGCACCCTAAAGAAATAAGTCAAAGGAAGGGCCCCCTGCACTGTTAATGAAGAGGTAAGTCCCATTAGGAAGAGCAAATAGTTGCAGTGGTGACCTGCAACTTATGTGGTAAATTTGTTTTCCACCCTGAAGATAACATGATGCACATGTGTGACAAGTGCAAGTTAACTGCATTAACAACAGAAAAGGCAAGTGTTCTGAAATTGTGAGAAATCCAAGAGAATGAATATGAAAGCTTCTGTGTTAAAGTAAATGGAGGAAGGAATAAAAACAATACTATGGTTGGCATTTATAACCAACCACCCAACCGAAGAGGAGATATGGATGATACTTTCCAAAAGAAAACTGCAGATAATTCAAGGAATCATGAGGCAGTAGTAATCTGGGACTTTAATTATCATGAATTAAATGGTATCTGTTGGGAGACAAATGGACTATCTAGGAAATTCCTGACTTGCCTTGCTGACAACTTTCTTCTTCAGAGGCTGGAGGATGAAACAGGGGGATCAGCCATCCCTGACTTGATTTCAACCAAGAGGGAAGAGTTAGTTGATCAGAGGAAAGCTGCAGGGTTTTTTTTATTGGGGGGGCATGTAAAATATCCTAGATTTTAAAGAAATGAATGGTCAGTGCTGCTGCTTGAACATGCTACATAAACCTCAGAAAAGTCAATTTTAATATACTCAGAGCAATGATAAATAGCAGGAAAACCTAACAGGAAGTCCAAGAGGTATGGGACTTCCATGCACCCATGGAACATCTACTGGTTATCTTTCAGAAATCCTGGAGAACAGATGAATTACCAGAAGACTGGAGGACAATGTTGTGCGTATGTTCAAAACAGAAGATCTAGGGAATGAAATTCAACAGAAACAAGCGCAATGTTCTTCATTAGGAAAAATAAACCAAATGAACAGGTATAATATAGAAGATACCTTGCTTAGCAACAATATATGTGAAAACAACTTGGAAATGCAGCTGACCACAAACTGAATATGAGTCCACAAAAAAGGCAAATGCAATTACAGGTGGCATTGAGAGAATTATAATTTCAAAATAAGGAGAAGTGACAGTTCCATTGTGCTCCATGTACAATACTTTCATTATAGCCTGTACTATTAAGACCTCACCTCAAATACTACTTTCAGATCTGGACACACTTCGAGAAGGATTTAGATAAATTGAGTTGATAGATGGGCAACAAAGTTGTTCAGGGGACTAGAAACAAAGTCCTTTGAGGATGGAGAGAAAGAACTAGGTATGTTAAACCTTGAGAGGACTGAGAGGGGATGTGGTACTTTTCAAGTACCTAAAGGGTTATAATACAAAAGAAGACTGGAACCTGCTTTCTCTTATCCAAGACTGCAGGATATGAAATAATGGGCTTAAGTTAAGTTACGCGAAAGAAAAGTTCAACTGAACATCAGGAAAAACTTTCTAGCAACCAGAGCAGTCACATAATGGAACCAGTTGTCTAGAAAAGTGGTGGGCTCTAACATTGGAGTTGCTCCAGTTATAGGGCAGTATAGAAACTGAATAAAATAAGTAAGTGAATAAAAAGGTAAGTAAACAATAACAAACTGCCACTTGCTGGTCATACAGGCATTTGCAATATCTCGCTGTAACATGCCTAAATAAGCTCCAGTGAAACTCAGTGCCTCCAGAGTTCTGTAAGTAGTTGAATGCAGTGCACCACTATGTAATTTCAGTGCCACATATCTCAGATTAAATGTACCTATTTCTGAAAACCCCCAGAGTTTGTTGGAGAGCAACAAATATTTTTTAAAAACTGCATTATGAAGATCAAGGAACTATTAACACAAGTCTGGAATAAAGTTATATAGACACATCAATCAGGGTTTGATCCCGAACTATGACGTTCCACTTGAACACCATTAAAACCAGTATTACCAAATGGAAAGAATATGACTTAATGACAACCCTGCCTACAAAAGGCCACCTGCCAAAATTCAGTGACTGGATAAAGAAGCTGCTAATTAGAGAAGCAAACCAAAAGCCAAGGGTCACTTTGAAGGAGCTGGAAAAATATGCAGCTAAGATGGGAGAAACTGTCCATGGGGCAACTATCACCTAGACACTCTACAAACCTAGGCTTTGAAGAAGAATGGTGAGAAGGAAGCTTTTGCTGAAACAAAACCATACCAAAAACCATTTGGAGTTTGCAAAAAGGCATGTGGGAAACAAAGCAAACATATGGAAAGAAAGCTCTGCGGTCTGATGAGACCAAGACTGACCTTCTTGGCCCTACTGTAAAACACTATGTATGGTGCAAACCAACAGGATTCACTGATCTGAGAACATCATTCCCATGGTAAAGCATGTTGGTGGCATCGTGTGGCAGAGATGTTTTTTCTCAGCAGGGACTGGGAACCTGGCCAGGATTGAGGGCAAGATGGATGGAGCCAAATGCAGAGCAATTCTAGAGGAAAACATGTTTCAGTCTGCAGGGGATTTGGGACTGGGGTGAATCAGGTGCACTTTCCAGGAGGACAGTGACCCTAAATACATGGCAACACTGTTTTTAAAATAAGAAATTGCATGTCATGCAATGATCCTGTCAAAGCCCAGATTCCAATTCCAATTGAGAATCTGTGGCAAGACTTGGAAGCTGCTGTTCCCCAATGGTTCCCAGTTAACCTGGCAGAGTTGGAGCGGTTTTGCTAGGAAGAATGGGCAAACACTGTAGGATCCAGATATGCAAACCAATAGAAACTGATCCAAGAAGACTTGTAGCAGTAACCTCTGCCAAAGGTATTTGCAGTAACCAAGCACTGACTTGGGGTGGGGCAAGTACTTATGCCACCAACAAGCCTCAGTTTATTTTTGTTTACTTAGTTTTTGTGCCACAGTTAAATAATTTGCACCTTTACAGTGTTAGGTATCTAGCATAAATCGAGTGGCAGCAGTGCCAATTAAATCCATTTCAATTCCAGGTTGTAACATAACTTGTAACATAACACAATGTGGAAAAATCAAAGGTTGTGTGTGAATACTTCTGCAAGACACCATGAGTGTTTGGCTGTGATCCAAAGAAGTATTTAGACACAAGCAAGTACTTGACCATACTTAATGGGTCTTTTGTCTCCACTTTTAAAATGAATGAGTATTTCCAGAAAAGATTATAGAGAAAAAATGATCAGTGCTTAAAATCTCCTGTTGACAAAGTACTCATATGCAGAGATCTGAAATTCCCACCAGAAATTATTGTTTTTGATCAAATCAGAGCAGAACCTTTCCTGAATATACAGGGACCAAAAATATGGACGCTAAAGTTCTAAAATGGGAGAATGCATAACTCTACGTATATGTATTTGTCTTCACTATACTTTCCTATACAAATTGTATTAGATAAAAAGGAAGATTATTAAATAAAATCTATGTGTATGGGATTTTAGAAAAATTGCAAGCATAGTTCAGCTCCTTCTCCCATTGCTCAAATATTGACAGAAAGTTGTTGTGTTGTGAAAATCCAAGACAGGTTTGTTAGGGTGGCTTATAAGCCTGTGGTTGGGTTTGCTTTACCCCATCATAGGTCAAGCCCAAGTTCAAGTATACTGCTTGGCAAGAACAACAAAATTATTTTATCACTCCTGCCCAGCAACTAGCAGGCAAATGCCACTGTCAGCCAGCCAGCCAGCCAGCCAGCCACAAAGTGCTCAAGTGACACTAGGGGTAGCTGTCAGAGGCTTCTCCCCATTGCCACTGCCATAGCAGTATAACACATGAACAGAGATTTCTTCAGTAGCAGGGCTCACTGCAACAGCAGGAAGAGGTTGGTGATGCTGCCTGGGTAGCTGGCTGAAACAATCTGTGCTCCCCAACTCTCTGCTGCAGCAGGGAACCTTTCTGAGCTCACTGTGGT